GACCCCAAAATCCCCAAAGATCCCCCCCCAAAATCCGCCCAAAACCCAAATTCTCCCCCCAAAACTCCCCAAAGCCCAAAATCCGCCCCAAACCCCAAATCAAGTGTCCTCAAGAGCCCCAAATGCCCCCACACTCGCCCCAAACCCCCCCCCCATTTCCGCTCACGCTCTCAGCCGCGCTCAGCAACGCCTCCCAGTGGAGCCTCGGCAGGAGCCGCGCCACGAAGGCCGCGTTGAACGGCACCGAACGGACCCGAACCTCCGAGGCCTGAGTGGCGAAAACCAGAACCGTAAGCCGTTACCGGGAGCGGGTGTAGGGGGAGTGCCGTAGGGGGGGAGCGGGGGTTACCCGGATGTGGAACGGAAAACCGGCGCCGGGCTGCAGGCCGCGGACGTGGGAGGTGAGGAGGTTGTGTGTGAGGAGCTTCATGGCGGCACTGCCGCTTCCGGTGGGGTGGAGCTTCCGGTTGGCTAGGAGCTTCCGGTGGGAACGAAGGTGAAAAACGAATCCAACCGAAAGTGGGGAAGATCGGAGAGAGGGTGGGACCGGAAGTGAGGCAATATGAAGTGGGTCGGTCGGAAGTGAAGGGATTGGGTGAATCGGCCTGACCGGAAGTTGCGTATTAGATCCCACTGGAAATAGAATCCGACCGGAAACTGGAAGAACGGAGTTCATGGTCCTACTGGAAAGAGGTCCGGGCAGAATTTAGGGGAACTGAGCAAATGGGCCCTACCGTAAACTGGTACCTCACAACCCCGCCCCAATGCGCCCCTACAGTCCGTCCCCACGGCTCTGCCCCAGGTTGAAGGTGGGGGGCAGGGGAATTTGGGGAGATACCGCGGATTTGGAGGGAGATGTTGAAATGTGGGGTGAAACAGTGCCAAGAAAAACGACCAGTACTGCAGCACCAGGAATGAACTTTTATTGACCCCAAATTGGGTCAGTGCGGGAAGAATGCGGGGGTCCCCATGGGGTTATGGGGCACCAGGAGAGAGTTCTGAGTAGGATGAGTTGCACTGGGAGCCTCTAAGGAGAGATCGAGAATTTGAGGGGGGGAATCCTGATGGGACTGCGTGACAATGAGGAGGGTCCCTAAGGGGGCTTTGGGGGAGGGGAGAAAGGACATGGTAGCCTTAATGTGGCACACAGGCACAATGGGGCACAAGAGAGGCCTCAGGGAGAGGTCCCCACGGGGCAGAAAGTGAGAGCCCATGGTGGGGAAGGGGTGGGGATGTTGTGATTTTGGGCTCCTCACAGCTGGGGATCCCCAAAGAGCAATGGTGGGATCTCTGGAGTGGAATGGCAGGGGTGTGGGAACAATGTGGTACCCCCATGGGGCAGAGGCACAGCAGGAAACCAATAGGGAGCGGGGGACCCTATTGAGGGGGCAGACGCAGAAGGAGCCCCTCATAGGGCTGCAGCTGCAGCTCCGCCATCTCCACGGGTGTCTCAGTGCCAGGGGGAGCGGATCGGTGCGTGCCCAGCACCAGGCGAGCGCTGGGGGGCAGAGGGGGTGGGGAGGGACTGGTGGTGGGCGTAGACACTTCTGGTCGGGGCCGGAAGGGATGCAAAGACTCCGCCCCCGGGTTGAGCAGCAGCAGGAAGCGCTCTCCTGCCCCGCCCCCCCTCAGCACGGCCACGCCCCTATCAGGCTCTGTCCACAACACCTTGGCCCCGCCCACGGCCAGGATCTTCTCCTTCTCCCGCAGCGCCCGGAGGCGGCGGCTCAGTGACAGCAACTGTGCCTAAAAGGGGGGATGGGAGGGGTGAGAATAGGCCACGCCCACTCCCCACATCACCCTGCCCCCTGCCTCCTTCCCTCTGCTTCCTCCCCCCTTCAGCTTCTCTAAGCGAGTCACCCCCAGACATTGCCCTTTTAATTGATAACGACAATTTGAAGAAGCTGCAGCCCCACCCCTTTAAGCCACACCCCTCTTTAAACCACCCATCCAAGGGCCCACCCTGAGGCACAGATGTTGCCCTTTTAAGAGGAAGCTGCCCACAGCTCCCCCTCCCCCCCCCCGACTGTAGCCCCGCCCACCTGGCTGCTGTTCCCGCTTTCCTGGAGCTCCTTTACTTCCGTCCACGGCATTGGGGTCAGCTGGGGGGCAAAGGTCAGATGGCAAAGGTCAGGCTTCCATAGGGAAGGCTTCCCTCTTCATCAATAACCTCCCTACCTCCCCCCCACCCCACAACCCCATCTCTCATCCCACAACCCCCCCAATGCCCCCTCCCCCCATAACCCCATCTCTCACCCCACCCCACCACCACTCCCCTCCCCAGATTCCCCGAGGCTCCCCCACCTGATCAGACCCTTCCCCCTGGGGGTCCATCAGCCCCACTTCATCGCCGTAGTTGAGGGTGGGGGCGTTGGGCAGCCCCCCCCACAGCAGCAGCAGCACTTGAGGGGCCAGGGCTGGGCTCAGCCCCAACAGGTGCTTCCAAGGGGTGCCCACCTGGGGGGGAAGGCAAAGTTATGGGGTGGAATTGGAGGACAGGAATCCCATTGGGGGGGGAGGAGACAAGCTTGGGAGGCCATGAAACTGAGAATTGGGATCTGGGGAGCCCAAATTATGGGGTCTGAGGGGGGATCCCAAAAGTCAATGTTCCACCATTTTGGGTCTAGGGGGTTCCAGGATCACCAAAATTGGGTCTGGGGGGGTCCCAGGGGTCAGTGCTCCTCAGTTTTGGGTGTAGGGGGGGCAGGGTCCCCCATTTGTAGTGTCTTTGGGGAAGGGGGAAGAGCAGAACTCCAGAAGGGGTCCCAAGAGTTTGGTGTCCCTGCTTTTTGGTCGGGGGGGGGGGGGGGGGTGCTCCCCGGGGTTTTTTTCTCTGGGGGGGGCGGGGGGGAGGTCCACTCACACTCCACACCACAGGGACCCCCCTGTGGCTGAGCTGCAGCAGCTGTGCCACGTGGGTGGGATCCAGCAGCACTTGGCCATTTTGGAGATCCGGCGTGGATCCCAGGGGCAGCACCCCCAAAACCAGGGAGACCTTCGTGGAATTCAGCAGATCCTGCAACAAGGCGGGGTCCCGCAGGCGTGTGCCCCCCACCAACAACCTGTCAGGGGAGAGGAAAGGGGGATCAGAGATGCGGGGCGAGGAGATTGAGGGACTGGGGAGAGAGCAGAAATGTGGGGCAGGGGGATTAAAGGGAGATTATAGTTAGGAATCAGGGGGGAAGTGGGGGTGCAGAGATGGGGGGTGAGGGGAGATGATGGGGGGGTTAGAGATGTGGGGTGGGGGGATCAGAAATGCGGGATGGGGAGATGAGGAGAGGAAGAAGGGGTCAGAGATACACGGGGGGGATGGGGTGTGGCAGGGGGTAAGAAATGGGCTGGGGGGGAACCTGGCAGTCAAAGATGTGGGGCAGAGAGCATGTGGGGAACTTAGGGGTCAAAAACATACGGCAAAGGGGCTTCTTAGGGGCAGTACCTGGGGGTCCCATCAGTGCTCCACTGCTCTGTGATGTTCCGGAACTCAGCCAGCACTGACTCCTGTGGGGCAGGGAGGGGTCAGCCCCATAGCTCACAGAACCCCATAGAATCCTATAGAGCTCACAGAACCCTATAGTGCTACCCCACAGTGCCCTATAGCACAGCCCCATGTCCCCTCCCCATAGCGCCCCTATAGGGCACCCCAAAGCCTCACCCCGTAGTGCCCTACAGGGCAACCCCACATCCCTGCCCCACAGTACCCCACAATTCTGCGCCTCACCTCCAGCTCCTCGATGCCATCCAGGAAGACTCCATCAAAGCCACGCTGCAGCCAGGCCCCGATCGCTCGCTGTGGGGCAGGAGGGGGTCAGCATTCTGCCCCATAGCACCCCAGAACTGCTGTAACCTGCCCCATGGCAGCCCCAAAGCCATCCATACTTGCCCCACAACCACCCCACACCCATCACACCCATCCCATACCTGCCCCACAACTGTCCCACATCCACACCGTACCCCACCCCCCTCCCTCCCCACAGCCATCCCCCAATGTGCACCCCACCCCACAGCCACCCTCATCTGCCTCCCCACCCCATACCCATCCTCCCCATCTACCCCACACGCACCCCCCAATCTACCCCACATCCCCCATCCACCCCAACCCTCCATCTGCCCCCAGCTGCCTCCTATCCTCCCCACCTTTATGGCGCTGTTGCCGTTGCTTTGGGGCCCATTTGAGGAGTGTTTTCGCACTGCACTGTGGTTCAGCTCCACCAACACCCGCAGCCCTGGGGGGGAAGGGGGGGTCTCAGCGCCCCATTTCTCACCCCATAGCCCCCTCAGCCCCACACCATTTCTCACCCCACAGCCCCCCCCAAAATCCCCATCGCCCCAGCCCCCATGCCCCACCCCAGAGCCTCCCCCAACCCCCAAGACCCCTCAATTCCCCCCAACCCCACACCTTTCCCATACCCCCCTATTCCCCACAGCCCCCCAAAATTGCTCCCAGCCCCCTCAATTCCCCATTCTCACCCATCCCAGCCCCCCAAATCACCTCCATAGCCCTCCAGCCCCCCTTTCCTATTCCCCCCCATCTCCCATTTTCCCCCCCCCCCACCCCTTAACCCAAAGATCCCACTTCCTCCCCGGATCTCTTCTCCCTGGAACCCTTCTCCCACGACCCCCTTTTGCCCCCCCCCCCAGCACTTACCACGTTCCTTTGCCGCCTTCAGGACCCCCCCCAATTCCTCCTCACTGCCCAGCTGCGGGGGCCAATCCTCCAGGGGGGGGTCTGCAGTGCTGTGGTGGGGGAGGGGGCCCAGCAGCAGCCCACCCGCCAACGATGCCACGTAGTCCAGGTGATCGCGGACCTCTGAGGGGAAGGGGGCATATTTATAGGGGGGACAGAGAACTCAAAGAGGAGGGAGGAGAGGAGCAGGCAGACACAGGGTTCCAAAATAAAAGGGGGGCGGACACAGTGTCCAAAAAAGATGAAAAAAAGGGGAGGTGGAGTGGGGGCGCTGTGGGGGTCTTAAGTGAGGGGGGGCTCAGAGACCTCAAAGAAGGAATTGGGGGGGGAAACAGGGTCCTAAAACAGTGACAATAGGGAAGGGGGGGGGCACAGACCCCCCCAAAATCAGGGATAAATCATTTTGGGGGTAGGGGGGTGCCCCCATTGGAAGGACTATAGCTTCATGGGAGAGGGGGGTTCCACGGTTGCACCCCGCCCCCCCTTTCCTTCCGCCGCTCACCCTGCAGTTTCCCTTCAAAGACTTCCGGGGGCGCCCTGTAAAGGCCGCCGCTCCTCCACCACTCGCCGCTTCCGGTCACGTGACACCGCGGGGCGCGGGCCACGATGGCGGCGGCGGCTCCCAGCATCCCCAGCCATCCCAACCAGAACGCCGCCAGCAGCGCCGTCCGAGCCCGGGCCCAACCCGGCGCCGCGGCCGCCCGGAGCAGCTCCTCCTTGCCCAGCCCGGTGAACTTCGGTCCGGCCGCCTCGCCGGGCCCAGCGGCCTTCACCAAGCCGTTCTTCTCCGGGCCGGCCCCACCGCTCTCCGGGGAGGCCATGGGTTGTTTTTCGGCTTCTAAAGCGGAAAGCTCCACGTCGCGGGGAGCGGCTTCGACGTCCGCGTCCATTTCTGGGGGAGTTTTAGAAGAAAAAAACCACAATGAAAAAACCCACCCCAAACACCGGAGCGTGCCGCCGCGCCTCTGAGAGGAGGGCGGGGAGAGCAGCGGCTATATAGCAGATGTCACGCCCACTTCCTGTTGCGCTGGTGCCTGATTGGTCACTCCGACTGCCTGTAGCGCTGACTTCCAGTCACGCGCCCATATTGCATCAGGCTGTTATGTGACCACGCCCATATCCGGTTGACAACCGGACTTCCGATTATGGAAGGTTACGGAATGTACGTATTAACAACGCAGCCAACCCAGCCCCAGTGCTGATGAGACGGAGCACGCGGCGGGCCCTGCGCTCCAGAGAAGGAGGAGAAAGTAGGGAGACAACAGACGGGTGTAACAAAGAAAACCAGCAGTAATTCATTAAACCTAACCAAATCAAACAAAATGAGAGAGAAACAGAACCCCAAGCACAAGCTATGCACAGGGGAAGCACGCACCTTTTTTTCCGTGTTGGTCCAGCCAGGAACTCCGCCTTCCCTTCTCTGCACTCTAGGTCCTCCAAAAACGCTGCTTCTCTCCTCCTACCTTAGGACCCAAAATGCCCATAGAGGCATCCAAGGACCAGGACAAGAACTCTTTAATTCACTTCATATGATACTCTGATGCAGAGAACTGACAACAAAAAGTCACAGCACCACAGCAGAGATCCTTCCCCAGCGGCAGCCAGCCCTTAAATGGGGTCCAGGAGAGGTGAGCCAGGCTCCACCCCTTCGTTACTGAATTGCCTTCACCTGCGCTCCCACAGCTGGCTCGGTCCTCGCCCCAGGTGTTCAATCAGCGCTCCTGGCCCTGACCCAACAGCTCCCATTCGCAGGGCTGTGAAATGACAACTGTGTGTTACTGGGAGCACTGGGTGTGCAATCAGCACTCGCTGCATCCCCAGCAGTGATTTCAGCCTTTGCTGTCCAGGCTGCTCACACAGATCTCAGCATCTGCTGTGTCAGCACTGAGATCTGTGTTCCCCCATCTGTTAGAAAAGTCACCAATTTGCATCAAGCACAGACTGGGACCAAAATTCGTGTGCTGTGGCAGGTGGTCCACCCATAAATCTCCCTCAGCAGACGTTCATTTTCCTTGTTACTGTCGTCCCGTGGCTGTACCGGCACTTTAAGGGCACGGCCCCAAGCTGTGATGGAGCACCTGGGGGGGGCGCGGCCCTGCAGCACAGCTGGGGGCAGTTTGGCTGTGGGCGGGGCTGAGCCGGGCTCCACCCCTCCCTGGCCCCATTTAAGGGCTGGGAAGCGCAGGGGCAGTATCTAAACCTGAGGAGTGCTGCCTTGGGATGGGAGATGAGATCCCTTCTCTGCTGCAGGGCTGTGATCTCTTCCTTTCTGGGGGATCCTGACTGCTTGGAGGCCTGG